CTCTTGTCTTAGAAAATACCATTTCAAAATACTGTTATCACTCCATTACCCGTATGTGTCGAGTTCCATTTAAAACTGATCTTCCTACAGAGTTAGTTGTTTTCTGATGTTCTCTCCCATTGCTGTTGTTTCATGCCTGCGATGATATTTATTTATATGCATTTATATGTCTGTCCTCTGTCATTCCTCTACTAGACTGTGAGCCCTGCCTGGTGTGTAGTATCTAATACCTATTTAATTTATGTTTTTCTCCATCTCAGTACAATTTCAATACATCATAAATATGGTGAAGTGAATTTTTCTTCACAACATTCACTGTGTGGGAAAGATCATACACACCTGTCCCATTTAGGTCTGGTTTGGCCATATGACTTGCTTTCATCAATGAAATGTGAGAAGTGATCTGTACCACTTCTGAGTAGACAACTTAAGAACCATTGCATATTTTTTCCTTCTACACGATTGGCCACATCCCAGGAGGAAACTGCTCTTTCAGACTATGTCTCAGAATGAAGGCGACATGGAGCAGAGTTAGAGACCATCTGTAATGAATCTAAAAGCTGAGCAAGAAATAAACTTTTGTACTACACCACTGACATATTGACAGTTTATTGCCACAAAATAATTTAGTCTAAGGTAGGTAGATTTTTAATAAATGTTGATGAAAATAAGGAAAGCTATAGAGATGGAGAAGATGAATTAGAACTGGAGATTTCGGGTCAATTTTGTTAAAAAAGAACCTTCTGTTGAAAACACATAAAAGTTCAATTTTCACGAATTGCTAATTATGTGAAATAATAGGAATTGAGGCTTTAGAGAAGAAAGGAAGAAGGGGATATCATAGAATAGGAATATATATTTTGGTATTGCAATCTTGAAAAGAAAATGAAAATAAATTCTTGCTAGATAATGTGTCCTAACGATGTCTTCAGGGAGACATTTAAAGGGAGAATATAAAGAGTCTAAGGTATCTACTGAGGAGGTGTTTTGAGAATGGGTACATAGAAAAGATTCCTCCTTTAGTTAAGCCAACCTAATCTAAAAATGTTTTTCCTGTTCAAATGTCCAAGTCACTGTTTCCATAGTCAAAGAAAAACTGGAGGCCTGACTAAAACAACACTCAAATTAAAAATATATTTGTGTACTCAATTCTTGTTATTCACAGTATTTATGTTCCATAAACGTGCACCAAACACCAAATCAGTGAATACTGACCGTTGCCCCCAGGGAAGATACAGGTTTAAATTGCTATGGGCCTCTGGTCACAACATTCCCATCAACTAGTCTGTACATAACCTTGTTTTATGTGTGTTTCTGTATTGAATAAGATTTCTTCTTTAATATATACTGTTTTTTCATTAACATTGAACTCATAACAAACAACGCTTTACTCATTACTCACTTTACTCATGCAGCTGATTTAAAGAATGCATTTTCTATATAGGATATATCACAGCCTCTTTTATTTAGGAACTCTAGATAACACTATGCTTGGGGGTTATTTTAAACAGTGAAATCAATGAAAAAAAAACATAAAAAATACAAGAACCCTTATACTAAATAGATCATGAAAAGGATACTTGTTTAGAATATGAAAGCTAAAACAAGAAAGCAGAGGATGATCTCATTCAACCTCAGCTGGGAATGTGCACATCCAGAGACTCAAAATTTTTGCGACTCTGTGCATGTGCACAAATGACCACAAAGGTGCCATGAGTATTGATTTGGGTGTTGCAAATAAATTTAGCAAGTAGATAAATCTTAAAATAATGAGGATTAACTGTATATCAAGGAATTGAAAGGAAAATAATGAAATGTATTATGAGGAGATGGTTAAAATGCCCACCAGTGAGGAGAGAAATTAAATGGATGGATGGATGGATGGATGGATAGATAGATGGATAAAAATAGATAGAAAGATAGATAGATACTAAATCTAGAAAAGTGCTTTAAATATGGTATATTTTTAGTTTCTTTCCTTGTCTTCCTCCCCACTTTTTTTTCCCCTTATTTCATAAAATATATGTCCCCTGAAAGCATTTAGGTAGTACTTGACAGTCTAGTCTATCAGTGTAATGTAAAGCATTAGATCATAGAAAAGTACGTTCAAGTTTTTCTTGGTGTTTCATTTTGCATTTGGATTTATTATTCCTTACTTAGAGATACCCTATCATCTTAACACAAATCTTGAAAGCTCATTTTTTGTGAAAATGTTAATATTTAATAACCTAAATGACATATGACACCATCTAACTTAGCCAGCAGGGAGTGAAGTTTCTTAAACTTGCATAGTAGATATTCCCCTGTAAATTTGAATAGAATAACCCTGTTTTGTCAAATAGAAATTGGAATTTTCTGTTTACATTCACACTCCTCTATGATTTTTATTTTGCTGTTGAATGGAAACATCTGGAACTAAATTGTTTTAAATTCACAAACCAAATGTATAGGCTGCTAATAAAACATCATCTTTTGCCAAATTCTTTTGACTATGGAGAAGAGATTTATACCTGAAAAAAAAAAAAAGAGCTAAAGAACATGATGAGAAATGAATCAATTAACACACTCTGGTGTGGATACTTTTTTTATGGAAATATTACCTCCAAAAAAGTTTATCAAGACAAGCTTTTTACAGTCCCCATTAAATTCAATGAATGAATTGTGAAGGGTAAATTGGACCCATTATAATCTTAAATTTCTTATGTAATATTCATAATCATAGTGTTACATAAGAGCGAGCTAGCATTAACAAAAGGAGCAATTTAAATTACCACTTCTTGGAGAATGGGGCTCTGCTTGACAAACAGAGCTTCCTGCCCCATTTGCAATACGCCCATGCATCTCCTCCAGTGCCAGTGAGACCCACACTCTCATACCAGTGATATAATAAACCCTCCACAACAGAGGGAGAAAATGAGGCAAACAAGCCCACATCATTTCAACTTGTCAGCTTTAAATAAAATCTTCTGCAGCTGAAAATGAGAAATTTGAGGGAAGATAATGTGTGAAGTAACCAAATTCAACATTGGGACAAAACATATTGCATTACTTATTTTTTTTTCCTGATCTTCCACAAAGGTTTTTGAAATTTCACCATAATTTTAATGAAATATCTTTTGTCAGAAATGACTTATAAGAAGAAATCGTTTATTTTGTTTGTTTATTTTTTTTCTCCTCTTCCACCCACTGATGCCTTAGGAAACATCTCAAGTTATCCCAAGCCCCTGTGATATTTTAATGAGTAATCTGTGACCTTTGGAAAAACTCTCATTATCAGTTTTTAAGTCAGAGTTGGTATAGCAGAACATGCTGGAAAAAAGTACATGCTTTTTATACTTATTTTAATTAATTACTTACATAATACCTTCCCCAGTGCTGATTTTATATGCAAAATATTGGTGCATGGTCTCCACCTACAAAAAATATATATAAGAGACAAAAATGCATTTGAAGGAAGATAAAAAGAAATTAACATTCTGATAAGTATATCTGAAATGGATGAAATAAACACTGATTGTGAATGTAAATCCTTTCCCTCTCCCTCTCCCCAGTGCCCACTTCCCCCAACCCTGTGTAACTCCAAAAACTTTACTGCTTTGCATTCAGGAGGTTCCATTCTACTGTTCCCTTCCGCTCTCTCCAAACCCCTTCTCTTCCTTCTTTGTTACTGTTTTTTTTCAGTATTAAAATATCCCTTGACTTTCTTTATCTTTCCTGAAAAAGTACTTGCCTTCTTCTAAGGAAAGACACCACCACTAGGTCCCAGCAGATACTTAGCACAAGTTGTGCCTATTCCAGTGGAAGAGGGTGAAAAAGTCAGTCTCGTTTGTCCTGAATGCCCCAAGGTGTGCCCAAATTTGATATAAACATCTTTTTATGTCTTTTATTTCCAATGTTGTGCCTCACTTGTTTTCCAAATAAGCTTAGAGTGCTTTCCTCTTGTTCTATTATATTCTTATACCATTGTAACATGAAGTCTCTGATTTCTAATTCTTTTATCTTAAAATTCCTCGCTTACTTTGAGTGATCAGTGGATAGAATGAGAGTAATATTGAAGGTATGATTCCTGACACTATGCTTGATATACCATTGTTAAGAAGTTGTGGTTGTTGTTGTTTTGTTTTGTTTTGTTTTTTGAGAGAGAGAGAGAGCACGAGCAGGTGAGGGGCAGAGGGAGAGGGAGAGAGAGAATCTCAAGCAGGTTCCACACCCAGTACAGAGCCCGATGAGGGGCCTGATCTCACGATTGTGAGATCATGACCTGAGCCTAAATCAAGAGTCATATGCTTAACCCACTAAGCCCCCCCCAGGCATTCCTGTTAAGAAGTTTTTTTAATCCATCCAATGCAAAACATGAGTCCATATATGTATTTTAAATATATTAGAGAAGTACCATGGGACAGGAAAGAGTATATGGACAGTGGATTACAGGATTTCAGTTTGAGGTGCTGAAGAATCAATATTTAACAGAATGACCATAATCAGCAGGTATTTTTAACCTCTCTATTATTTACTTGTAAAATATGAAAACAATGAATATCATGTCATAGGATGGTTAAATTAATACTAGGTGTATGTTAGAGATATTTTCATTTTTACCCTATGGTCATTAAACTAATTGTTATAAAGGAACAGAATGGATTTCAAGTTAACTTCACTTAGCCACTAAGCATTCAGTAAATAATGTGAATGGTGATATCATGCAGCTTCCATACAGTGTATGTGAAAACCAGTCACATTCTGCCACAAGTATTAGGTTATTCTCCACAGTTTGAGGTTAGTGAGACTGGTGCCTTCTAGTACTCTTAGACCCTAAATTCCCATGGTGTATTATACTCTTTATTCTAAGTTTCTATCTCAGTAATCATGTAAGTATAATGTAGGACCATGGTGTGGCTGAGTAGCCATTTAATTACTGATCTTTTCAAAAGGAAAACAAATGGAATCATTGGCTTAGAAGGTATCTGTTCTAAGCTGAGCTGGTTTTTGTCTCCCCACAGTGATGGCTGGGCTGACAGGTATGATGTGACAGATGGATATCAGCGAGAAGCTGTTGGTGGAATCACAATCAAGCTTCAATCTCCCGATGTCAAGTGGTTTGATGATTATTATCTGAAGCTTCGGCCAGAAACAAACCTTCGAAATCCTTGGTTTCAAGAATTTTGGCAGCATCGTTTTCAGTGCCGGCTGGAAGGGTTTGCACAGGAGAACAGCAAATACAACAAGACTTGCAATAGTAAGCAGATTTATTGTTTCACTTAAAGTGGATAAGGCTAGGGCTCCAATTTATGTAAACTGTGTCACGGGGATAGTGGCTATAATCTGTTGGAGAAGAGGACTCTTACATAAACAGAGGGGCTATTGCCACTTACAGTGATAAACAGGCTTTATTCTCACTAAGAACATATCAGAGCAAATTTTTACTCCACAGAGATTTAAAACAATTTTGTTATTTATATCATTCAAGAAATTGGCACTGTGCTAAGAGGGTAATGTGAGCTCCAGAGAGGAACTGCAATTGCCATCCCTGAAGGCAAGAACTACACTCTGCACATTTTGATTATCTTCAGCAGTTAGCACCGAGTTAAACACTTAGTAAGGGTGTCATATTCTGAAGAATGAATAAGGGGCCCCTGGGTGGCTCCGTTGATTAAGCATCTGACTCTCGATTTCAGCTCAGGCCATGATCTCATGGTTCGTGAGTTTGAGCCCCGCATCAGGCTCTGCACCAATGGTGTGGAGCCTGCCTGGGATTCTCTTTCTCTCCCTCTCTCTGCCCCTTCTCTGCTCTCTTGCTCTTGCACTGAATCAGGTGAATATTAAAGGACAGAGCCAATTCCTACTTCCATCAATATATAGAACAGGAGCAGGGATAGGGTATTATGTTTCAGGAGACATAATCTGAATGTTGCCATTCATTCTTCTACACTTATAGGGACTCATATTGTACCAACTATTGCTTTTTTTCCCTCCAACTATTGTTTTAGTTGTAAAGATAACAAGGTGAGGAAAACTAGTTCCTGCCCTTAAAAGGTTTATCTAGAAGGGAGATAATCATGCCAGCCAATGTTGTAATTCAGTGCTATAAATGATATTATAAGAGCTAAACACAGGGTTTAGTTGCAATTATTTGTTGCACATTGAAAGGGAATCTTGACTCCAGTTACCAAGGTACGGCCAATATTGATCCGTATGTCAAAGCCTGCAAAAATTAAGGTTTGTCAAAATTGATAAGTGACTTGTTGATACTTCCTTATCATCACATTGTGTAACAAGAACCCCATATGCATTTGCATAGGAGTAAAGTGTTTTAATTGGTGACATGGGTGCCTTTATCTATGATGCTGGAATACAGGAGTGCATTGAGATAGTGGGGTTGAAATTATGGCCCACAAACCAATTCCAGTGCACAGAGAAGTTGTCACATACAAGCACAAAAATGAGAATAATGTAAATAATATAGTGAATTTTTTCATAGCGCACGTTCCCTCCCAGTTCATGTCCGTCATGTTTTTGGTATCACTTCATTCTTTTGTGAAATTAAGAAGGGGGTGAATGATGATTTGTGATTCTTTTAAATATCGGTATCTGGTAAAATAAGAACTTGGCATCTTTATGTCAGTTTCTGTTTGAGTAAAGAGGGGGGAGAAAGATGCTGAAGTGTGGGATATTGTATTGATCAGTGAAATCCAGAAATCACAGAAGTATGGTGTGTATGTTTGTTTCTTTCTGACTTCAGATACTGCTTGTCCAAAATCTTCAAATGCTTATTCATTTCCTTTGTTTTGTTTTGTTTATTTTCATGAAAAAAATATATGTGAATGAACAGCATGATGACTTCTGTTTCACAATTTCAATGTTTATAGCTAATGTCATGTCTTTCATCATTCTATCTAGTTTCTGATGGACACAGACTTCTTTCCTCTCTTGAGATTTGGGGGCTATGCCTCTCTGTATTCCAGTTCTATGGTTGTGTACAGATTTCTATGTGTAGCTACACTGGAGGAGTTATAAAGTATAAGCAATAGATTTGATCTCATCTCCAGTTATCCTTTATTAAGGAGTTAGTGACAGTCCCTATCCAGTGTGTCTAAGGTAATGTTTCCAACTGATCCTCACCCTTTTCCTCTTTTGTGCCAATATTATTTTCCTTTTCTTTTTTGCCTAAAATGTCTTTCCTTTGAAATTGTTCTTTGTTTCTCTTATTTTTTCCCCACTGTTTGAGATCTTATTTAGATATAGTTTTAAAAAACTCTTTAATTGGTTTCCAAAGAACATTATTTCTGTGGAAAATGTTCTGTAAAATCCTCCCTTTTAGCCTGCTGTTGATCTCTGTCTTACACATGAATACCCAGATATGATTACTCTGCTCAGAACTGGCTCCTTACTCCAGTACTGGAAAGCACTCATTAGCCGCTTCCCCCCGCCCCCAGAATCTTATCTGACAAGAGATGTCATTTTGTACATACATGGACACTTATGTGTAATACCTCTGTTATTCTTTTCAATAAGGGAAATAATATTATTATCTTTATTTTAAAGATTATAAAATGAAGATTTAGGAGAAAACAATAGCTTGCTCAAGGTCAGCTAACTATTAAACACTGGAACTTATAATTGAACTCAGATTTGTCTGAAGTTTAACCAGTATGGTATGCTAAAAAGAAAAAATATTACAATTTTTTAAAATTGCCATAAAATTTGCTTTACATTATAGTTAATATATAGGTCAAAGATACAAAAAGGAAAAATCTTAAAATTATTTGTACATTACTATGGAATTCATAATAGATACCTAATTGTTCACTACTGTCTACTTTTGACTGTATTTCCTTATTCACTCACATGTCCTCTTAGCATCTTTATCCCCACCTCCTGAGGGGCCCCAAATAGTTTACTCATATTTATAATATTACTAAATATTACCAGAATTTTCCTAAATATAATGCACTTAAGCCCTTTCATCAGGGAGTGTGCATAAGACAACCATTTTTGAGTTGGAGTGTTAATATTAGGAGTTTCCAGTTCATGTCAATCAAGAAGCTTTGCTTTGCTCACTTTCTCCAGTACCTTAAATCTAATAGATAATTCAAGAAGAAAAATGGCTTCACACAAAGGATAGAAATACCCATAGCTGAAGTACTGTTTATTTTGTCTTGGGAGATTCTTTGAAGGCAAAGAATAAAAGTTAGGACAGGTATCTAAATCTAGTAGTCCAGAACTAGCAGTAGCCTTATAGAGAATATGCCCCATTAATATGAATTTTTTCACTGCCTGTTAGTCTTGCCTATTCTTATACATTATATAAATAGACACTTACATTATTTGCTTCTCTGTAATGACCTTTTCCCCTCAAAGTAATGTAGTGATTTTCATCCCATGATTGCATGTATTAGTTTATTCTTTTTTTATGTTTTATTTTATTTTGAGATAAAAAGAGAAAGAGAGAGTGAGAAAGAAAGAGAGCATGTGCAAGGGAGGGGGCAGAGGGAGAGAGAGAGAGAGAGAGAGAGAGAGAGAGAGAGAGAATCTTAAGAAGACTCCATGCTCAGTGCAGGGTCCCATGTGGGGCTCAGTCCCATGACCCTGGGATCATGACTCAAGCCAAAATCAAGAGTCAGACACTCAACTGACTGAGCCACCTAGTTGCCCGTAGTTTATTCTTTTTTATTGCTGTGCAATATCCCTTTGTATGGATATACTACCAGAATTTACCTATCAGTTCTCCTATATGATAGACATTTGCATTATTTACATTTTTAGGTATTATAAATACTTTATGAACATTTATGTACATATACTATGGCAGACCTATATCCTAATTACTGTTAGATGTATACCCAGTATTGGAACTGCTACATCACAGACTACATATATATTTAGCTTTATTAGAAATTGCCAAGCAGTTTTCCAAAGTAATTGAACTAATATCCCCTTTCACTGAAATGTATGAAATTTCAAGTTGCTTTGCACTACTGTCAACACTTGGTACTATCTTTTTGTATTTTAAACATTCTGTGAGTATGTGTTTGTATCATATTGTGATTCTGATTGCCTTTCCATGTGTATTACCAAGTTAAGTTCCTTCTCATATGCTTATTGGAAATTTGGGCATCCTATTTTGTAAAGTGTCTGTTCAGGTCTTTTGCACATTTCTTTGAATTGTTTATCATTTAACATCTATTTTAAGACTTCCTTATATACTGTGGAGATGAGTCTTTGGTAGATATATGTATTGTGAAAATTGCCCACTTAGAGAATAGCTTATTCCTATTTCCTATCCCTCCCATGTGTTGTTTTCTACTTATCCACTTTGTTCTTTAATACTTATTCCTCTTTTACTGCCTACTTCTGGATTAATCAATAATTTTTTTATCTTATTCTATCACCCCTCTTAATAATTTTGTTTCATCTCAGCATAATTCATTTAGAGTTTTCAACAGAAATTACTAAATGAATCTTTAATACAAACAACTTTATGTTGGTTCTTGTTTATATTAAAAAATCTTGCAGGGGTGCCTAGGTGGCTCAGTCAGTTAAGGGTCTGATTTCAGCATAAGTCATGATCTCATGGTTCGTGAGTTTGAGCCCCACATAGGGCTCTGTGCTGACAGCTCAGAGCCTGGAGCTTCCTTCAGATTCTGTGTCTCCAGGCTTTCTTTGCCTCTCCCCCTCTCATGCGCGCACTGTCTCTCTCTCTGTCAAAAATGAGTAAACATTAAAAAAAATTTTAAATCTTGCAAATATTTACATTTGTTTATACCCTCATACTATATTTTGCTATTGCCATATAATTTATTTTTATCTGTATTATATATAAAAATATATAAATATAATATAAATATTATATATACATATGTGTGTGTGTGTGTATATATATATATATATATGACTTTCTTCATATTGTTGCTCTAAATGGTTAACAGTCATATTTCCCCACTCCAGTGTTTTTCATTCCTTCTACCTGCTTGCTTTCACCTGTGATTTTTTTCAGCCTAAAGAATTTCTTGTAGTGTTTCTTACAATATAGATCTACTGCCAACAAATTATATTGACTTTTTTTTTCTGAGAATATCTTTATTTCCCCTTTGTTTTTGAGGAGTGTATTCACCAAGGATAGCATTCTGTATTGCCAGGTTTTCTTCATTTTTTTTTCTTTGAAAACAACATTTCATTTTTTTTCTCTGGATTCCATCATTTCATTGAAAATTTAGCCATCATTCTAATGTTGTGTCT